CAGTTTTTTTTCTTCGATTATGTAGGTACTCTGATTCCGGAAAATGATAAACAAATAGTATCTGATGCAGATGCAGCATACATTTTCTAAAAACACAGTAGGTACCCAATTGCGGCTTTTTCTTCCATCGGATAGTTGTAACAGAATTAAATATGAAAATCGTTCGACGTCAAATAACAATAACTTAGAGGCGATGCGCTTGTAGTTTGTTAAAAGGTTCCAAAGCATCACTGATTTATAAAAATGTAATTTTTTATTTTGTCCATTTCTACGGTTTTGAAAAATGGAAAATTATAATTAAAAGTATGAACAGATGCAGTATTTTTTTCTCTAAAAGAAACGTATTTAGACTTTTGCTCTAAAATAATTAGGGGAGCTAGTAATTGACTATAACGAAATTACCATTGAAATCCCTATGCTGCGTTGCGCTAGGCACCACCCTGTATAATACCATAAGTAGTCGAAGTATTGTCGAATATTTTTGAGGTGCTGTCACGAATGCCAGTTACGCTGATTAAAAAGGTATTAAAAAGCGTAACTAGCATGAGTGGAGCAGCAGCTCAAAAATAATGTACAAATACTTCGACTACGAATGGTATTCGGAGGAATGTAATAATCCCGAAGCCTTGACATTATTTCCATGACAACAATAAACGTCAAAATAAATGACGGAAGTTGCTTTTCATTTTGCTATTGATTCTATTCCAACTTTTGCGCTCCATATTCGTTATGAGTGATCAAATTAAAAGATGTGGTGATAAGTCGGTTGTCGAAATTGATTAACAAACTAAGAAGAATGTTCCGGTTAATACGACAAAATTTCGCGTCATTTCACTGGTGGAAGTTTGACAAATGTCATTGAATAATCGCATTGAATTGTCACTTATAATTGCACAAGAGGTTTGTATTTTACCGAGTAAATTTGGGTTGTTTAGGTAATAAAAATCTGTTGCCTAGTAATTAGACGAGAAAAACTGTCAACTAATAAAAATGCGACACCGCAGGTGGAGCATTTTTAGGTTGACAGTTTTTCGAGTCCAATTGCTAAAAGGAAACAGATTTGAATTGCCACAACCCAAATTTACTCGGTTTAAATACAAACCTCGAGTGTAATTCGGCAGGACAATTTAACGAACAAGAAATTCACCAAATTAATCAATTATTGACAGACGTCAAACTAGTCATATGGGAAAGGGTAATGCGATAATTGGTTCGAAAATGAATAAGTGAAAAAACCACTAGTGCATTTGTCGCTGGAAAAGTTGCAGGTAACTTTTGCCGCTGTCAAAGTGACAATTTCACTGCGGCTTATGCGATTTTTTATACATGAGTTGAATTGTCGCTGAAATACCACACGTGAAATTATCATATACAGTGAGTTTTTTTAAATGCGAACATAGGAGTTTGCATGCAATGTAATGTTCGATTTTAAAAAAAACACATCAATATATGAGATGTGCGCGGTCCACATTCCCAAATCGCGCAACTTGTGTGACTATGAACAGCAACTCTATAGTCTTTATGATGAAGAGCACTCGGTAAGATTTTTTTAAAGAAGCCATGTGAGGCCATAGCAACTTTAGGATACATTTTTCTTAAACTTACGATAACTTGACCTCACAGGCCACGCACTGACACCACAACTCATTGTGAACCAACCTTCAATTATTTGTAGGTCATGTGCACCTGGTATTCTACTAATTTGATCTATTCAATACATAAATGAAGAAAATAAATACCGAAAACAATTACAATAAATGTTCGAAGTGTCCTCCTTGACATTCTAACCAATAACCTAACCGATTTCGTAATTAAATTGGACGGTTGTATTTTTAAAAATGTGACAGCTGTTAATTGTATCTACTACTCATTTGAACTACTCAATAGATTGATGTGTTTTTTTTAAAATCGAACATAGGGAAATTACATTGCATGCAAACTCCTATGTTCGCATTTAAAAAAAATTCACTGTATAATACCATAAGTATAACTCTCCCCAGGAAAGATTGCCGGTCACAGCACACCTTGTGTCAATTTACAATCTATGTTTTTCTTAAGATGCGAGCGACTTCCGGTATAGGATCGTGCCAATGTTGAACGAAAAGACTTTTCGTTCAACATTGGCACGATCCCATCCTGAAAGTCGCTCATATCTTTAGAAAAACACAGATTGTAGCCCGGCATCAGGTCTTCTCTGACCGGCAATATTTCCTGGCGATAGGTTTAGTCGAAGTATTGTCGGATATTTTTGAGGTGCTGTCACGAATGCCAGTTACGCTGATTAATACCACGAGCGCTTGCGCTTCTGATAGCTCGTTCATTTCTTCTCGGTGTCAACAATGTTGCGAAATTATGTTGCAAATGATTGAAAGTGCTTATTTTGTATAATGATTTTTTTAACAAATTAAAAACAAAACTAAAACTACCTCAGGAAACTATTACCAATTTTGTAGAATTATTAATTATATGCAGTAAGCATAACTTGTTCGACGAGATGGCTCATGGCACAACGTTACGGCAGTCGTTCTTTAACTGACACCATTGATTTGATTATTTGCCGGCCCGTGTAGCGCAGTTCAGTGGAAGCTCGACTGCGGTACAGGGTCCCTGGTTCGAATCCGGGTTCGGGCATGGATATTTGTAAATGTATAGTGGGTTGGGTTGGTAGAGCAGCCTCGGCTGAAACCTCGCCCACTTAAAAATAAAAGCAAAATAAAATAAATAAAAAAATAAAAATTATATACTACGAATATATGTATAATCTTGTTTACCTACTAGCCGCTTCCATCGGGAGGCCGGGACAGTTCGCCGAATGCCCACAACGCCGACACGATTTTTTGAAAGTCCATATCGCCGACTAGGGACACTACGTCGACGGACACTACGCCGACCGTGCCCACATCGCCGACAAGTGAACAAGGGACACTAAGCCGAACGTGACCATAACGTCGACTCATACAACACTTCTTAATCAAGCTGGACGGTGTGCAACACCAAGTAGCTTTTGACGAGGTTATTGTAGGTTCAGAACATTTTTTTAAACTTTTTTCGAACAACAGACTCATACGAAAATTCTTAATCAAACTGGACGGAGTGTGAAGCAAAGCAGCTTTGGATATTAGGTTATTTGTAGGTTTAGGACATGTTTTTTAAACTTTTTAAAATGCAAACTCATACACTGGACAGAGTATGAGGGGCCTGGATTTTCGAACAGTCGGCGTTGTGGTCACGTTCGGCTTAGTGTCCCTTGCACTGTTGCACACGTTTCGGCAATGTGGGCACGATCGGCGTAGTGTCCGTCGGCGAAGTGGGCATGGTCGGCGTTGTGTCCCTTGCACACTTGTCGACGATGTGGGCACGGTCGGCGTAGTGTCCCTAGTCGGCGATATGGACCTTCAAAAAATCGTGTCGGCGTTGTGGGCATTCGGCGAAGTGTCCTAGACCCTCCATCGGTGCATCAATATCGTCTTCTGGACAGGGATCTCCATATTATTCTCCATCCTCTAACATGCTAGATTCACACAAAACACTAGGTTCATTGATAGAAAAAAAGGTGTTTCTTACCGCCTTCAGAGGAGTGAAGGGCTCGGAGTTTGTTGGCTATGTATTGGTGATTGACGTGATTTTTCGACACCGCATATTCCGAAAACGGTGAGGGGCAACGATTTGTTGTGCATTGACTTGAGTACATTGAATTGACTATTGAGGACCACAACGAGGTTCATTTGTATCGTCAATTTTTCGCGGTCAACTTCACAGGAACAGTTTAGAGTCGCGTTTGCAGTTAGCTGTGCCTTCGTTGTAGTCGCAATAAGACGAAAATTCTCATTCAAATGTTTGTGTTAATTCGATCCTCCGTGCTTCTATTTGTAGGCTCAAACACAGCTCTTGGATTTCCACTATTCATTAGATCCTAGTGTTCTATATCTACAACAATATATTATTATTGCAATTTTTGGTCGAAATATAGCAATAAAGCATTTCAAAATTTACATGAGAGTGAATGAGAAACAGTTAAAATGAAGATAATTAATGCTGAAAATAAAACAGCCGTCAAATATGCGCAGAAATTAAAAACTATTCGCAATCCGTTGCCCCGATTTTATAATTCCTCATTATTTTTTTGGTCGACTATTAAAAAGTCTAAGTAGCAACTTTCTTGTCTTATTTTGTTCGGGTTTTAAAATAATTATCATTTAAAATCCAGGAAACTCCGCATATAAATTAGTAACTTTTTGTTTGCAAATAATTAATCCGGAAACTTCCAGGCGTACAACTTTTGTATTTTTGCTTCTTATTAATCATTTATTCCATCTTGCCATTGTTGCTGCATTGAAAATAATTAAGAGTTAATTGTTGAAATTCTATCCGAGAATGATATTACTTTTTCTTAGATTGGCTTGGCGTATTTAATATTTTAACTCTTCTACCCAAATGTCTTTCACTGATAGGTGTATTAGTTCTCATTCTTCTAGTTTCAGACAATTACGATACGAACAAGTATTCCGGAACGCATGACGTTGAGATGATTAATTTTTAATGTTCAACTCCGCTGAATTGGGATACGCATTTTTGTGAAAAAAAAATAAAAATTTTATGTAAAGAATCGAACCTGAACCGACCAGTTGTAAGTCGAATATCCTTACCACTAAATCATTATGGGAGACATTCAATCATGACTAAACCAAAGAATACTCCTTGATTAAACTCAGTTCGCATTCCGAAGCAGTTGTGAGGGAATTAAATCATTTAAAAGTAGATAGGACTATCCTACGAAAAAAGATTTGCTAAGAAATTCGATATTGAACGTATCCGTATTGCTGAAGATGAAAATTATCAATGAATTGTAGCTAAACATAATGTCAAAATTACATGAATTTGTTATATTTTCACCACGAAAAATTGAAAGAATGAATTTACTACGTCCCACGATTTAAAATGCAAAACCGTACTCAGCATTCCTACTACAAAAAGATATCTAACTCTGTGCTTTGTTACAGATGACATCCACAAATGATGAACTTCCACCGCCACCCAAGCCAAGGGCGTCTCCATTTGATTTTAGAAACACGGATTTGGTATCTCGACTATTGGCTGCTACACCACCCTACTTATACAACATGCCCCTTATACCGCATAGCTTCTTTTTTAGTGAAATGCTTCGCTCATTAGTTCAGGCTAAAAATGAAAGCGCTAGTAGAAATCCATCTGCACCCCATATGCATCACAGGAGACCAAGGAAACGATCATGGACTCAAGTTAATTCTGATTATTACATGCATAAGGACCCTACTAAAACAGAAAAAATCGATATGCCTCCACCCGCTAGTTGGATTTCTAAACCAGATGTTTCGGAGCCACCCTATACTAATAAAATAGAGGACATACCTTTAGAGCTAACCACCGATAAGTTAACTGTTAGTAGCAGTAGTGTTCCAAAAACACTTCACGAAGATGGCCAACCTGATAACAAATTTATTTATCGCTCTCCGGTAGAAAATTCACTAAGCAACTCCAATCAAACGGATCTAAAGGCAAAGAATGCACAATATCCATTCCCACACAATCCGCATCTACAAAATTCATCAGAAGTTGTGCTTCCACCTCCACCTCCAATGTGGTACCCAGCACTTTACCCTACACCATACGGAATAGATCCCTTGCACTTTTTCATTGACTTACGGGTATCTGGTCATATATACGACCGAAAAAACCAACGCGAAAGCTCTACATCCCCAGAAACAACGACTTCTACCATCTCTCCAAATTTGAACAATTGCACCCAAGATACTAACATAAGCGAAGCACTTTATACCGAACCTATTCCCGATCCATTTAGACAAAGTCGGCATACTTCGGCGTTTAGTGTGCCGTCATCTCGTTTAGCAAAAAACATTCCCATTAATTTAAGTAATTACCAACCACTTCGTAAAACTATCGAGCATAAACCTGAAACAAAAGATATTAGTGGCCATACAAAGTTTGACGTTAAGTCGATGGGGTTTGAACGTAGTTCTAATAAATTAAGTAGTAACTACATTATGACGAACATATTTAAAATTTATAAAGATCTGCAAGAACGTGTCCAAACAGACGAAGGTCCACAGGAATCAGAACCATTAAAACAAGAGGAAAATGTTGGTTCCCCTTTAGGGAGCCCGGATGCAAAAATCAATCAAGAAGAGCCTGGGAATGAAAACAAGAAGAAGGTAAAAGGTTTGAGAGCGCTTATTGGGTTAGAATTGGTTGTGGATTACATGAACCATGCCAAACCGGGGGATCAGACTAGAAACTCAGATGATAGTTCAACAGATTTGGACTCCAGTGAGAGTACTACGGTGGATGTTGTAGCTCTACAAGAAGAGATTTAGATGGTTTACCGTGGATTCAACTTATATGGAAATCTAGTCATCGCAATGTACTCTTCATAGCTTTTTCCTTGTAACAATATACCTACTTGCTGAATAAATAGGATACTAACTCTTCCAGTACGGTTTGCTAGATTTTTATGTTTTGAACTCAAAACTCGGCGCGTTTCCAAAGCGATAGTAGGCACGTACTGGACGTAGTAGTCTGATCAATCTGCCGTATAGTTGTAACATAGTTCTTAGTTAAAAAAATGTAAATAAATGCAACAGTTCAAAATAAAATAAAAATATATCTAGTTGCATTGTGCGTTTGCATTAGAAAACAACCTTTTAAACGATACAAAAACAAGGTTCGTTCTATACTCCCTATTTTTTCTCCCCCTCCCTCTTCTCACACATACCTACAATTATACTAATATTTAGAAAAGCAATTTTGATTAATATTTTGGGGGAAACCATAAAGACCAATCTAGCGAAACACATCATAGGTCCAAAATTAAAACATTATGGTAAAAAAGTATTTCCGTACAACCAAGTTTTTGATCAAATCATCTTGCTACCCCGTCCCCTTGCGATTGAGAAGAAATTGGGACACTCTAACTCATGTCGAAAATTATTTTTCCCAAGAATCCAAGAAAAAGAAAATGATACGTTTCATCGAAGCAAGTCAAAGTGAAAACTATGCCTTTCATTTCCCTGTCGAGAAATGTGCTCGAGGGCAAAACACAGACGTCTCCTTTCTCATTATGTTTTGTATGAGAAAGCAAATCGCACACGTGTTGCTTGTTTTCCACTTATAGTGTAAGATATAGATGGCCTTTGTTTGTAGGCATATGATTACACAATATGAATACCATTTGGTTTCATAGTAGAAATGGTAGGAATAGCAGTGTACATAACTTTTTTGAAAACGACCTTTTGTGATAATGAAACACTCGAGCGAGTCTCGCCTAAATTTTTATTTCTTTTTTAATTGTTCTCGGCAACTATAAGAGTCACAAAGATGGGTGGCACATCTTTGAGTAGTCTTTTAGGTAAGTCCTTTCCGATTTTATAAAACTTTGATAAAATCCTTATCCCATAGGTAGAGCACTCTTAAAAGGAACTGCGGAAAAAATTTGGACCTAGACCAAATTTCGTATCTGATTGAATATGACAATGAATCTGAAATTGGTTTTTAAAACTTGAGACGTAACTAACTTGAAAGCTCCCACGTCAGCAAAGAGCGGGAAATCACGAACTTGGAACGCCAGTATAATAATAGAAACCTCGCGCTCAACAATGGCCGGATTCCAAACGTTGTAATATTACCTTTGAAGTAGGTATATAATAATCAAAGTAATACACTAACGGCCGATTCTACAATGCAGATATATACCGAGAATAAGCTATAGGTACTTAGAATAAATGTCGACGGTTTCGTTGGTTAGCATTGCGTCAACCAGTGCGATACATGTTGTAATGGCAGTTATTCCAAGGATATCTTATTCCCCGTAACGGTTTAATAATTGTAGAACCGTCCCACACTCGTGCCCACGTCAAGTAAAGGTGGAGCGCAAATAACACGCTAATTGAAACGCAAAAGAAAGTTTATTGAATCAGTTATCAAAAGTGCAAAATGAATTTTAAAAATCCCAAAAGAGTTCCTACAAAGTATGAAAGAAGTTATTTAATTCAAAGCAGCATATCATATTCCCTAAAATCCATCGAATAAAAAAGCGAGATGAAGAAATCTCCGAACTCTCCGTTATAGAGGGTAGATATGGAGGAAATCTGAATAAAGGGTGGTCATTGTGGGACAACGATAAATAAACATTCAATATCACATCTACAATATGCAAAAATTAACAATCCGAGGGAATATCTTTTGAAGTTTAAGAGTGGCCCTCGAAGTGGCCCATCCAAATATTTGTAAGTAATGAACATCTCAAAGTTTCTTACATAAAGTACAGCAATACATTGTAAATTAGCTGAACCTTCTCCAATCCAGAATACAACAAAGCGCTGGATGCGGTAGCTCAAGTTGTACCAGATTTATAACTTGGGGCATTTACTTCTGCACGGGCGAAAAAAGGCCCATTCATACCCCAAAGGATTGAAGTCGATAATCGATATAAAAAAAAGTTTAAACATAAATGGCCAATCCTAAGATAAATCAAATGTGGGACGACCAAGAGATATAATCAGTTTTACGAGTTTTACTGTATAAATCCAATATGGTGCCCATAAGAAATCAGAAAGTAGGTAATTTCATGTTTTCAGTTTTTCAGTTATTTTCAAAGATCTATCAAAAATTTTCAAAAGCGTGTTTTTAGTCACAAAAAAAGGACAACTGTCACTTTAACCTCTAACCTACACTGTATCTTCCACCGTTACGGAGATCCCAATGGTGGCCCACGAATTTGAACAACCCTGTACAGTACTAAAATATTGAGATTTTTGTTAAAATTTTGGAACTCGTTTTTTCTATTTACCTATACAGATTACAGGATGAGTTTTTTTTAGCTTCTTAGCTTGAACTAGGTGGCTTTTTGGATGATATGTCAAGATTTCATCAAACGTTGACGTATTTTAAAGAATAATTTTTTTTCCATCGGTATGTATCAAGGATACTATATAATATAAGGATTGCTCGATCCCTATACTTTTAATGTTGCCCAAGTTTAAGTCATATGTGACGTCACCAACGGACCTGGCTGTCAGAATTGACAGTTATAATTTGCTAAGTTGTGAACGTATTTGCATGGACGCCAAGACGCCGATGTGCAATATTAGACTGTAACAACAGCCGTGTTTGCACAAAAATCACTAACCCGGAAGTAATTTACCATAACTTCCCTAAAATCGATGGATTAATACGCAAGGAATGGATATGGTGCTGCAAGCGAGATTAATGGACAAGTGTTTCTAATTTAAATGCCTGCCTACAACACCCATTTGAACCTTAATAGTACATTATATATCAAGGTAGAGAAGTCCACTATTATTGCCTGAGCACCAAGATTACATCTCGAGGCGCTTACGCCGAGGGGTGTAAGGTGCGAAGGCAATAATAGACTTCTCTACCGTGGTATATATACTATTTTTTTCACTACTAGCACCTGAAATCCTCTAAATTAACATATTATATTGATAAGAGAGTTAACGGTTGGACAGAATTGTTTGTTTCTTAATTTAACATGTCAATCAAGTACGTGGAAGTACAAGTCAAACAGGCCGTATTTTGTTCTGTCATTGAGATTTTTCAAAGAGTAATTTCGTTCGATTTTTTTCAAAATGTGATAATTTTAGGTATGTAATTTCTCTGGAAATTGCGAATGGTGGCAATTATTCGTTTTAGAGAACTTGTCTAAACGTTCATTGAGCGAAATTTCGGGTTGTGTTTTCTAAAAGTGACAGCGTGACAGTTCTCATTATTGACTACTAGTTGATAATAAAAAATTATTAACCACTTTGAACAAATGCCGAGAAAGCCTACTTTACAAGTGGAAAAAAGGTTAATAATCATGTCATCAGACGCTAGTAGTGAAAAAACGTATTTTATGGTATTAAAGGTCGATTCTCATTAGAGCAGCACCGAGCGGCGCAGAGCAGCGCGGCGCGTCGCTAGCAGCAAATTGTAGAGGGGTATTCCCACTTAAGCACCATTTGGAAGCGTGACGAAGCAGCGTTTCTGTTTGTGTTCAGTTTAAGGGAGAATGTATTCTTACACGCTCGAAGAAGAGCCATCATCGTCATCATCACCAGATGATTTCACAATATTTATAGCGGCACTATGCCATGTACACGACGAAAAAAGAAGAAAAAGAATGCGGACGAGTACAATTAATTTTTCTATTCTTTGTCCGTCCATAGCGAATCCACTAACACACGCAAGCTCAACACAGAAGACAAATGAATGCTTTTCACAAGCCGCAGCACCACGCTGATCTGCTTCGCTCCTCAATTCCCACTTGTCCGTCTACACGCAGAGCGGCGCGTTTCAAAGCAGCGCCGCGTATTCCAATGCTTCCCGACGCGTTTAAAATTTGCTGCACTGCACCGCGCCGTTCTGCTCTGCACCGCTCTGCCTAAACGGATCTACTGATCTCGCTTTTCACCGCGCCGCGCTGCTCGATGCTGCTATAATGGGAATCGGCCTTAATCAAAGCATGCGCTGGTACTGGGCCCGCGAGTGACGTCACTATACGCGGCGAAAAAATTCAGTGATCGAGCAATCCTTATATTATATAGTATCCTTGGGTATGTATGTACCTACTACGTACGTTGGCAATTTTCGGAGGATAAGAGCTTGACAGATACATACTTGATACTTGATAGTTTGGCATATGCCTGGCGTAGCCGCCTCTCCCAGTATTTAGTCAACTGTCGCTGGGATGTGTTCCTGGTAAGAAGTAACAGGTGTGCATCTGTGGTGGATTTTGTGGATTGTGTTTAAATTTTGGATATGCATACGGACATGAAAATAACGAGCCGGATTTTTGAAAAAATTTTTGCAGTGCCGCAACGGCATCGAACTTTTTTTTCAAATAGCGTCGCAAAGTTTTTATTAAATTAATCAAAAGACTTTCTTTTTTTGTGTGCAACCTACAAAAACCATGCTGGTTTTATTACAAAACACGGAGACAAACAAAAACTAAAACTAAATATTTTTTTCGGCAAAACGCTTATTTTGATTCCATTAAAATTTTAGCAGCATACATTAGGCACAAATGATGTAATACTGTTAAAAACATTTTTTTAATATCTGGTTTAAGCTAGGAAGCTGCGCTGTCAAGAATTTGGTACCTGATTTTCATTTTCACTATGGGAATCTCGTAAACCGTAAGAGATACAAAGTCGCTTACCTAAATTTGTAAAATTATGCAGAATTTTTAGCAGATTAATTTTCCGTTTCAAAGTTTCTTGTAGCTCTACAAATAGCGAAGTTCTGGCCAAAAAATATAAAAATGTCATTTTGGAGAATGTGCTGCCTTTCATTATTTTATTTTTAAAGAAATAAAAAAATAATTTTAACAAACCTAAGTGATTTTTTTTTATCTTTTTGATGGTGCTAAAATTTTTATCACTTGTGGGTTTCGTAAATCACAAGAAAATTTCTAATTTCTTATAGACGCAGTATTGGATTTTTACTTCACTCGATAGAGAAAAATTTCAAAATCGGTCAAACCAAATACTTGTTTCAAATTAATTAACATTTCTCGTTTGTTGCCTCGCATAGTCACCATCAACACGGCCGTGGAATTATTGCCATAAGAAATA